CACCCAAGGTGCCTTCATCAGGGACTCTTAGAATTGGTGCCGTTACAATGGTATCAGAGGTCTAAGCTCCTCTCCTGTGAGTATAGACCAACAAGCTTCCGCAAGAAAATTCTGACAAGAAGTCATGGCGGTTGTTGTGGACAACCCCAGAGAGAATTCCCAGGAAGGAGAACTGGGACTCGATGATCAACAGCTGGGGAATTCAGCTGGAGGAGATAACCAGCCTGGTGGGGCTGGCGAGGAAGAAGAACCCCAGGGCAACTCGGATGGAGGAGCCTCTGAGGGTGATGGCGTTCGGGATGACCAGCGGGTCGAAGAGGAGGCAGCTGTGGAAGAGGAAGCTGCCCAGGAGTCCTCAGGCTTTGCTGGCCAGAGGCCATTCAGCCCTGACCTGAAGGAGAGGGTCAGGCAACTAGAGAAGCAGCTGGCAGACCTGGTAGCTGGGAAGGCGAAGACAGGTAGCTCTTTCCAGGGGGTCAAGCTGAGGCCAGCTGATCCACCTAAGTATGCAGGTGGTAACAAAGACGTTGTCAAGGACTGGCTAGCCACGATGGTACAGTGGTTAGGCTCAGGCAGCTGTGTGCCAGAGCAGAGGGTTCCCCTTGCCCAGACTTTCTTGACAGGAGGTGCAGCCAGTCTCTGGAGAGCTAAGAGTGCTGCCCTCCAAGCCCAGGATGTTGATATCCAGGATTGGAATGTCTTCGCCAGGACCCTGGAGCAGGCCTTTGGGCACCAGGATCCAGAGCAGAATGCAAGGGACAAGTTGGATGTCCTCAAGCAGACTGGCTCAGTGGAGGATTATGCTAACAAGTTCCAATCTTTGGTGGCTGAGATTGTTGCTATGCCTCCCTCAGAGGGTGACTTGCTGCAGAAGTTCAGAAATGGGCTGAAGCCAGACATTCAGATGGCAGCAAGCATTGATCCTGTCACAGGCACTAGGTGGATGAACTTGCAGAAGTTCATTTCTTTTGCTTGTGCTACTGACGCTTCTAGGGCCCAGGCTACTAAAGGGAAGCAGGCTAGTGACAAGTCAGAGCAGGGGAAGTCCTCTGGCTCAGTGGCTAGTTACAAGGAGAAGCTCAAGGGCAAGAGGCCTAATGAGTCATCCCAGAGCCAGCCAGCCAAGAAGCCTAAGACAGGCCAGGATAAGCAGAAGTCAGAGCAGAAGGCTAAGGATTGGGAGCACAATTCGTGCTTCCTTTGCCATAAGCCAGGCCACAGGGCTAAGGAGTGCCCTGATAGGCCTAAGAATAGCAGAGTGGATTTTGCGAAGGCCAAGTAAAGGAAAGTGAGGCTTTGTTTGGACAGATAAGTCAGAAGATTAACCGTGTGAAGAACCAGAGAGTTGATCTCTCCCCTAAAATGTTTCAGCAGGTTCAACAGTTAACCGGAAGAGACTTCACGAAGTTCGTGAGCTCTCAAGGTGTTCTTCATTCTTCAGACTTCCACTCACTTGATCAGATGTCTTTTCACGATCTCTCTGGCCATCATTCTTGGTTGAATGCAGTCAGAAGTGAACTGAGATCTTGTTTGTTACATTATCAAGACTGTAAAAAGAAAGCTCCTTCTACAACCTCGGCTTGCATCTTAGTACCCAAGCTCAGACGTGGTTCTGTGGGTACTCTGTTGCATCGATGGACAGTGGTAATGGAAATACCCACTGGTCAATTGATACATGTGTGGAAAGATGGAAAGCTCCATCTAGAGAAGTCAAGGTATGCTATGCAAGTTCTATATGATCCAGTGCGATCAGAACAGTTGCATCATGTTTACCAAGATGGTCGAGTGACTATGCAATTTGTTGGTAAAGCAGCTGGAACAGAAGTAGACTTTCTGTTCGACAGTGGTGCAAGTACCAATTACGTGTCTAGTGCTTTTGCTAAGATGCATGGCCTAACCGTGAAACCCAGTGAGACTAATGTACGATTGGGCACATGGACTAGTGTCTCTGCCCAGGGCGAGTGCGCTGTGCATATCAAGCTGGGCGATTATCAAGACAGAGTGGAATGCTATGTCCTTGATATGGTAACGGATTTCCAGATGATACTTGGAGACACGTGGTTAAACATGGTAAAAGCTACCTTCGATTATGACAGCAAGAAGTGCATCATTCGAAAGAATAACAAGAGGTTTACTCTCTCGTCTAGCACTCGTTCTATGCTTCGTCATAAATTGTCTTCTCGTGGTAAGAGAGAGCCGCCAATGCTTTCTGCTATGCAGGTGAAACGAGCGCTCAAGAGGGGCGATCAAGTGATGATGGTTCAACTCTGTCGGGCCATCATACGTCGTTGCTATATAGAGTCGGCATTCATATCGAGTTATAGATCGCAAGCGGGAAAACGAAAATACTATGCTATCCATGATGTCACCATGTCATACACATCATCCATGATCCTTTTTTGGATTTTTGCTCGAAAATCCAAGAAAAAGCCAGAGAAGAACTGTAGCGGGGGTGTCGTGGTGGTGGCGTTTCGCACCCCCTTGTCGCAAAAGGGGGTACTTTGGTCCTTCCTTTTTCCTGCCCAAGTTGCCTAGGGAATTCCGTGCAAGTCAGAATGACAAGCACACTAGGTAGTACCGGGCAGTGAAAGAGTGAAGATGGCGGCTAAGTTGAGTCGGTTAAGCATCGACCGAGGCCCGTGATTGAGGTGCGCTCGAATTGCTTGCTTGTGGAAATACCGGAATCTTTGAAAGGATTCTAGAACTCAACTTGCACGGAATTGTGGAAATGAGCGAATGTTCCTAGCTTTTGTACTTCGAACTCGGAATTTAGGCCGTAAGTCTAAGTCTAGGCTAAATCGTAACTTTCTAGGCTTCTAAGTCGATCGAAGCTACTTTCTAGTCTACTTCTGAGTCTAACTTGGTCGATACCTCTAGAAATCGGTTGAAGTTTGGGCCGCGCGCATCCGCCGTGGCACCAGTCTGGCAGCGGTTGCCTGCCTATGTCCGTCCGTTGTCGACCTATGTCTCTTCTGTCAGAATATTGCCGCGTATGACGTATGGAACGATCCGTGGCTCGATTTAAGCATGTGATAAATGTCAGAAAAATAGTGACGGCCCAGTGTGACTGGCCGCAGCTGGCATCACTAGGTGAATGCGCTCTTGTCGAGGCCTTGTAGCCTCCGATGTTGTATAGCTTGACAACTCAGTGAACTGAAATTGGACTCTCAGATCCCTGCAGATAAGAAGCTGGCTGAGCTTCTGAAGGAGTACGAGGATGTCTTCAAGCTGGAGCTACCTCGTGGGCTGCCTCCTGAGCGGAACGTGGGTCACTCCATCCCAGTGGAACCGGGTGCCCCGCCTCCGTTTCGGCCAATGTATCGGCTGAGCCCAGTGGAGCAGGCAGAGGTTAAGTCGAAGCTAACCGATCTTTTAGAGAAAGGTTTGGTTGAGCCGAGTACTTCTCCTTATGGTGCGCCAATCCTGTTCGTTGGCAAGAAGGATGGTTCTTTACGTATGGTTTAGGATTATCGTTACCTGAACAAGATTACGATTAAGAATCGGTACCCTCTTCCCATGATTGATGACTTGCTCGACAGTATTTCTGGTATGAAATACTTCACTTCCCTTGACTTGACGTCTGGTTATTATCAGATTCGCATCACAGAGGAAGACGTTCCGAAGACGGCTTTTCGGACGCCTTTTGGTTTGTATCGGTTCAAGGTGTTAACTTTTGGGTTAACGAATGCACCTGCTACTTTCCAGTCTGTGATGAACGACATGCTCAGGCCCTACGTTAGGAAGTTTGTCGTTGTGTATCTGGATGATATCCTGATCTTCAGCAAGACGGCTGAAGAGCATCTGTCTCACCTTAGACAGGTTTTACAGACGTTAAGGGAAAACCAGTTTTATGCAAACCCGAAGAAGTGTGACTTTATGAAGGAAGAGATTTCTTTCCTGGGTCATCGGGTTAGCGCTAACGGTCTCAAGGTTGACCCAAAAAAGGTTCGAGCAGTGGCTGATTGGAGGGTTCCAAGAGACGTCCATGGTGTTCGTTCATTTCTTGGGTTAGCGAACTACTTTCGAAGGTTTCTTCAAGGTTATTCAAAGATGGTTGTCCCACTAACCGACTTAACCAGAAAGGGTATGCGTTTCATATGGACCAGCGAATGCCAAGAGGCATTCGAAAAGGTTAAGCACGCCCTGACTAATGCACCTGTCTTGACGCCCCCAGAGTTGGGAAAACCTTTCGAAGTGGTTTCGGACGCTTCTGGTGTTGGGTTAGGGGCGGTTCTGTTACAGGACGGACGTCCGGTAGCTTTCGAAAGCAGGAAGCTTTCTCCTGCTGAACAGAATTATACCGTTACCGAACAAGAGATGCTTGGAGTGGTTCATGCTTTGAGGACCTGGCGATGTTATTTGGAAGGCAGTGATTTCACCGTTGTGACAGATCACTGCCCCAATACCTTCTTCGATACTCAGGTGAACCTGTCAAGACGGCAGGCCCGCTGGTCAGAGTTTCTTTCCAGATTCAAATTGGATTGGGAATACCGTCCTGGAAGGACGAATGTTGCCGATCCCTTGAGTCGAAATCCCTTACAGTCAGTCTTGCTGTGCTTTATGAGGGGGAAGAAACGAGCCGGGGGAAAGGGGCTGCAGACCTGGACCCGCCGTGGCGCCAACGAGCATGTATCTTCAGTTAAAGTTACCAACCCTGATGTTTCCAGTGTAGATCTGCTGGAGTTGTTTAGGGAAGGATACGTGGCTGATGCTTGGTTCCAATCGAGTGACAACCTGGATGGGTTGGAGTATTCGACTGAAGATGGTTTGTGGTATCTCGATAACCGTGTAGTTGTGCCTGCTGGTGCGGCTCGTGAGAGAGTTCTAGAGGAAGCTCACGACTCACCTTACAGCGGACATTTCGGGAAACACAAAGTTTTGCATCAGATTAATCAAAACTTTTGGTGGCCTGGTTGGAGGAAGGATGTTGAAAGTTATGTGTTCGGTTGCCTTGTAACGGCACGACTGCGCACCGACTCCCGGCTGCGCGCTGAACTCGCGGCCGCGCATCGTCCGTTATTATACGCTATCGACTT